GCCCAAGTGCGCCCGGTGCCGCAACCACGGCGTGGTGTCGGCGCTCAAGGGCCACAAGCGCTACTGCCGCTGGAAGGACTGCCTGTGCGCCAAGTGCACGCTGATCGCCGAGCGCCAGCGGGTCATGGCCGCCCAGGTGGCGCTGCGCCGGCAACAAGCGCAGGAGGAGAACGAGGCCCGCGAGCTGCAGCTGCTCTATGGCACGGCCGAGGGGCTGGCCCTGGCCGCCGCCAACGGGATCATCCCGCCCCGGCCCGCCTACGAAGTCTTCGGCTCGGTGTGCACCGCGGATGGAGGCTCGGGGGGTTCAGGTGAGGCCACTAGCGCATCCCGATCCTAACCTTTTGCCTGCGGGCAGGCTGGACAGGCGCCCGTCGCGAGGGAGGGAGCCCTCTTGTCCGCGACGGAAGAGTTCCGAGTAAACAAGCTTAAGTCCCTGTCCTTCAGAGGCCGCCGTGGCTTCCCGAGGGACTTAAGGTTCTTTAACTTTCTCTGAACGGAGGCTCCCCCGCCTTTGGAAGAAACGGCAAAATGGAACCTGCTTCCCATTTAGTGCGCAGGAGAAAATCCTAACGCTCACCTCACCCACTTGAATCGGCCCACCCGTTCATCCAGCCAGTAACGATCTATCTATCACGCCCGATATCCTGCATTCCCTTGTAACTTTTTTCCCCTAGACCTCCCCATCCACTACTACAGAACACGCAGAGCAACCGTCCGAACTCCCCCCCCCCGATCGCATTGTCTTGCCACCTCCGCCCCCACCTGGCACTTCTGGCTTTCATCGTCTCCATTAGTTCTCAGTCAGTTTCGGGCTCTCTCCACCCACGTCCCATCCGCCGCTAGACTATCCCTCCACCCTTCTTCTTAGAAGCAGGTCCCAGTTATTTCAAGGGAAATAAAATTCTCTTAAATTTATCCTAATACGTTAAGGATAAGACTTTGCCAAGTTGCGTACAGCGGAAAGCGGGTTAAGGAAGCGCCGTTCGAATCAATGGGCCTTCCAGCCAAGCCAATGTGGCTGAAACTGAGGCACCAGAAGGCTCCGTGAGTTTCCTTTTAACGCACTGTCCAACTCAAAAGATTTGCTCTTTTAAGTTTTCCTTCCCACCTCTGCCCATTTGCCTGCCTAGCTACATACACCCCCGATCACAATGCCTTCTTTTTTATAACCAGGGTTTGCTGTCTCTCCTGGGGACCCATTTTATTGCTTGAAACCTCTGTTGACACAGAAGTAAATGAATCGGATTTCCTTCCAGGTAGACATATTTAGGATTGACACATTGCAAGTGACCTGCTCTGAAACAGGGAGCCCCAGCGCTTACGGGCATCAGAGGCAGGGCAAAGTCTTCCCTGGACTTGTTCCGGGTGCTCTTCATGGCCCGAGATGCGAGAGAGAAGGGCGCCCTCTGCCGACCCTGGGGATCAATTCCTGCTAAAAGGTGCTCCGTGGAGTGTGGCGTTAAGGCCTTGTTTGCCAAACAGGTTCCCTAAAAAAGCTTTAGGGATCACAGCAGGGTTGTGCTGTGATCGCCACGGGGAAAGGCCAAGAAGGGAGCGAACGGGGCATCTTGGTAGGCCAGGTCAAGAAGTCAGAACAGGGGAGGTGGTGGACACAGCGGGTGAAGTCAGGCCGATAGGAGACGCCTAGTCTAGGTGCGGTTCCACCGGGTTCAACGCACGCTGGGTGGGTGCCACATTGGTGTGCACGGATGTGTCTGTAGCGAGTCCAAGTTTAGTGTAGTGAGCGTAGTGCTGAACTGAGAGCGCTTTACTCCAGCCATTGCGGCATCAACTGTGGAGTCGCCCAGAGGTTGTCCCGAAAAAAAGCCTCAACCCTCATCCCATTGCATTCTGTCGGGGTTGAGAACCTCCTAGCACGTATTTTGGTTGGAAGTGTCACAATATTTTGCCTCTTTCTCTCGCACGCACGCACGCACACACACACACACACACATCCCTCCCCCCCCGGTTGAGTTCTGCCACCTATTCCGGGTTGAGGGCGTCGGTGGGTTCGGCCAGGTGCGGTTCCCCTTCACTCCCGGCTTCCTTTTTTTTCTCTTTGCCAGAAGTCAAGCTGCAGAAATTCGACCTGTTCCCCAAGACGCTGCTCTCCAACCGGGCCGTGACCCCTCAACAGGCCAAGCCCTTGTCGCCGGAGGGAGCGGACGGCGCCCCGGGCACCTCGTCCCCAGAGCCCACCCGCCACGCCTGCGGCTCGGGCTCCGAGAACGGCGACGGCGAATCTTCCCTCAGCTCGCCCGTCTCGAAGGGCGCCAAGGACGGCAGCGCGGGCGGCGG